TATATATATATATATATATATATATATAATGATATTTTTCTTATAATTTTGATCTTAATGCTTAAGCCGATACGATCCCTCATCTTTTGATCTATAGTTTTGAATCTTGTTGGAAAATATTTTCTAAACTTGGTTTGGATCATTTCACCTAACAAATGACTTGTGTTAGGAATAAACTTGGATTTGTTAGCCATTTACATCCTTATGCTTAATGTAAGGATTTAACATTGATCATTGAGGGATCATATTTTAAGGTTTAATCCTTAGAGATTCAACCTTGAAGAGTTAGTTTGAGTAACTATATAGATGTGGGAATATGAAAAATTGAATTCCTACAAAAGATTCATTGGAAAGCATAAGTGTTGTGAAAGTACATTTAACCCCAAATTCTCTCTTGCATAGGAATCACTTCTTGAATCAGTATTTTGTTCAACATCTCATTTGCAACTTATCTTATTTATATAATTTTCCCAATATAATTGTGTATGGTTGTTCCTACAAAATTAACAATCACATTAACAATAAGGCGGTCCATCAAATTTAGTTTTATTCCTTGTAAGGCGTAACAATTACAGGCCAATATGAGTATGGCTTTGTTGATGCTTGAACATAGGGTGTAAACCCATCAGAACATAGACCAAGTCTTATATTTTGTGGTTCACTTGCAAAAATCTGGATAAACATGATCAAAATGTTTCCATGCTTCCCCATCACATGGGTGTCGTAGATCAGTAGAATTATTTTTATTCTCGTGATGTCATCTCATTTGGATCGCGATTGCCATTGATGCATATAGTCTTTGTAATCTTGGACTGATTGGCAAGTAAAACATTCTCTTCATCGGAATGTTTTTGTATCTTCCCTTCCCCACCTTAGGAGGTAAATACCTTGGACTATGACAAAACTTGCATTCAGTTAAATCTTTGTCCACTTTGTAATACAACATACACCCATTCATGCAACAATCAATCTTTTCAGCTTTCAACCCCAATTGTGACACCAACCTTTTTGCTTTGTAATAGTTCTTTGGTATGCAATTATTTTTTGGAGCTACATCAACTAACATTTGTATAAAATAATCTAAACATTTTTCATGGGCATGCCAATTGGTTCTAGCCACCAAAAGCCTTACAACAATTGATAATTTGGATTCAGTTGCTTCTTCGTATATTGGTTGGTTCTCAAAGGCTAGCATGTCACAAAATCTTTGGGCTTCTGGATTTGGAGACTCATTGTCCATATCTCCATTGATATGTGATACATCACCCATATGTGTGTGTGCATCATACACCATTCGAGTCACAAATGCAAATTGATTCTCCCAACCTATAGATGAAGAGTTACTAGATGGACCAACTTCTAAATTTGAGACATTTGGCCCATCTTCTCCATGTTCAATCCAAACCTAGTAGTTTGGTTTAAACCCATGTTGTAGCAAATGGGCCCTCACTATCAATGGTTTAAGAATCTTCTCACAATTACAATTTATGCAAGGGAATCTAATCCTTCCATTTGGAACAAAACAAGATTGTTCCATTGCTTTGCAAAAAAATCCGTTGACTCCATTGATGAACTCATGTCTGAGTCTCCTTGAAGGATCAAGCATATTATACATCCAACTACGATCCATGTTTATGCATACCATTCAAAATCTCAAATTTAGAAGAAATAATATCTTATTATTATTTAATCATGAGATACATCAGATATATATATATGCATGGATTTGCTGCCTATTTTAGGAAATAAGGACAACCTATTCTAGGGAACAAATCCCTGTAATTATGGGATTGTTATTGTAGTAATAATAGCAAGATACAGCAAATATACAGAATTAAAATATTGTAGGAATAATATCTAAAACTTCCTAAAATATATTTTGACACTCCCCCTCAAGTTGGTGAATAAGTGTTATCTATTCCCAGCTTGGATATAATTCTTTCAAAGTTACTGCTATTCAGCCCCTTGGTGAGTATGTCTACAAGTTGACCTTGAGTGGACACATATGGGGTGCAAATCAAGCCACTGTCAAGCTTTTCTTTGATAAAATGTTTGTCCACCTCAATATGGTTAGCTCTATCATGCTGTACCGGATTGTGGGCTATAGTAATTACAAATTTATTGTCACAATATAACCTTATAGGTTCATCCCACTTTATCCTTAAGTCTTCCAATATAATCTTCATCCATAAAAGTTCGCATATTCCTTGGGCCATTGCTCAAAATTCTGCTTCAGCACTAGATCTAGCTACCACACTTTGTTTTTTGCTCTTCCAAGTTACTAGGTTTCCACCAAGGAAGGTGCAATATCCAGTAGTTGACCTTCTATCCACAACTGAACCTGCGTAATTAACATCCATATATGCCTCAAGACTAACATTCTTGTTTTGTTTGAACAAAATTCCTCTTTCTGAAGTCCCTTTTAAATACTGGACAATTCTAAGAGCAACTTGTAAATGTGCTTCCCTTGGTTGGTGCATGAATTGGATGACTAGGCTCATAGCAAAGGCAATATCTGGCCTAGTGTGAGATAGGTAAATGAGTCTTCCCACAAGTCTTTGGTACATTTCTTTATCCACAGCAACATCCTCCTCCGCACTTCCCAACTTTATATTTGGGTCAACTGGTGTACTTGCTAGTTTGCAGGCTGTCTTACCTGTTTCCTTTAGCAAATCAATAATATATTTTTGTTGAGATATGAAGATCCCTTTCTTGGAATGGGCTACTTCAATCCCCAAAAAATATTTTAGCTTCCCTAAGGTCTTGATTTCAAATTCCTTGGCAAGGCATTGACTCAACCTTTGTTGTTCCTTTTTATCATTCCCAGTGACAATGATATCATCCACATAGACCAATAGTATTGTTAGTCCCCCCAAATCAGAATGCTTGATAAATAAAGTGTGGTCCCCTTGGCTCTGTTTGTATTTAAGGCTTGTCATGACTTTGGTGAATCTCCCAAACCATGCTCTAGGTGATTGTTTGAACCCGTATAATGCCTTTTTTAGCTTGCAAACTGTGTTAGCTTCAATCTACCTTGTATACCTGGGTGGTACCTCCATGTATATTTCTTCTTCAAGATCCACATGTAGGAATGCATTTTTTACATCAAATTGTTGCAAGTCCAGTCTTTATTAGATTTTCACTCTTTGTATGCATATCTTGTGCACACAGAAACTAAACACAATTGAAACAAAATATCAAAAATTTAATTTCACACGAGAAGTGCTACATTTCTCTAATTTGCATTTTTTGTTCTCACACAAGACTTAAAAATACAAGGAAGAAAAAGTAGTACCTTTCATTTTTTATAAATATTTCCATGTGAGACAAAAATTATATAAACAAAGAGGTTGAGAGATGAATTAGATAAAACATAAAGATGTAAGATAGAGGTAGATCATAAATTTAATATAAGATAAAAAAAAGATAGAGAGAAATCAACACGTAAAATACATTATCAAATCCTAAATAATGTGTAAACAAAATAGAAGGTAGATTAGAGATTTAATAGAAAATAAAGATAAAGAGAATAGAGAGAAATTGACACACAAAATAGATTGTCAAATTTCATATTATGTGTGAAAATTGAGAATAGTAAAAAAAAGAAGAAAAAAAATAGTACCTTTTATTTACGAAAAATATTGCATGTGATATAGAAGGTAATTAAGAGATGAGAGATGGTTAGATAGAACGTAAAGATATATTATAGAGGGAAGATCAGAAATATGATAGAAGATAAAGATAGAGAGAAATTGACAAATAAAATAGATTATCAAATCCCAAATTATATGTAAACAAAATTGAGAAGAAAAAAAAGATAAAATATAATACTTTTTGATGATCATTGTAATTGAATGAAGATTAGAACAAAGAGAAACTGACACACAAAATACATTGTCAAATCTCATATTATGTGTGAAAATTAAAAATAGTAAAAAAAAAAAGGAAGAAAACATAGTAACTTTTATTTATGACAAATATTGTCATACGAGATGAAAATTAAACAAAGAAAATGAGAGATGAATTAAATAGAACATAAAGATTTAATATAAAGGGTAAATCATAGATGGAATATAAGATATAGATAAAGACATAAAGAAGCCAACACGTAAAATAGATTATCAAATCTCAAATATGTGTAAACAAAATTATAAAAAAAATGGAGAAAAAAATAGTACCTTTTGATGATCATTGTAGTCAAATGAAAATTAGACAAATATATAAATGAGAGTTATATTGAATATAATGCATAGGAGAGATAATATATATATATATATATATATATATATAATAAAGGGAAAATATAA